CAACAAGTAAGTAAAATTTATTATCTTAGTCCATGTAAAGTTCATTTATTTGGTATTCAAGATGAAGCAGTAAGGGAGCAAATTAATTATGTTCTTAATGAAAATGAAATTATAGGAAAAGGGCCCAATGGCACACTTGGTATGATTTTTGATGGAATTAAGAAATTGAATAAAGGTGAAAAGCATTTAAAGATTACTTGTAATAATGCCAGTGAACAAAATAAAAATAATGTAACTGTTTGATTTTATTTATATTTGGTAATTTGTGGTTATTATGAAAGTGTTGAGCTCAACTTCATGGTTCCTGGACATACTAAATTTAAATGTGATGGTAGTTTTGGTTTAATAAAAAAACTCTATAGGAAAACCAGAGTAGATTGTCTGGAACATATGATTGAGGTAATAAAAAAATCTAGTCCAGCAGGATTAAATAAAGCCCAATGTTATGAGAGTGGAAAAGGTTTTCAATACTTAGATATTAAAGCAATTTTGGGAATTTATTTTAAGAAATTACCAAGCATCCAGAAATATCAACATTTTCTTTTTGAAGCGTCTAATCTTGGTACAGTAAGAGTTCAAGAAGTTGCTAATGGACCTTTTACTGAATTTAACTTATTGAAAACCAAGAAAGCAGATATTTTTGAAGAAATTAAATTTTTGTCTATTTTAGTGTTAACACCACCTCCTTTGGATTATAAAAGGCAAGAGTATCTTTATCATAATATTCACCAATTTTTAAGGGATAAATTTAAAGATATTACTTGTCCAAAACCAATATAAAATTTTATTAAAATAATATATTATGGTAGTAAAAGGAATTCCAGCACCCGAAAATAATCAAAAATTAATATAATTAAAAAAGAAAGCTGAAGAACTAGAAGAAATGTTAGTGGAGTTGATTAAGAATAAATGTCTAATAACAGATGAATATAAAGATGGTATAATTGATAATTTAATAATTACAAAATTGAGATTACAAAAAGAAAACTTAGAAGTAGAAAAGTATAAATTAACTAAGGAAAAAGAAAGAATTGAAAAGGATTATAAAAACCTTGAAAATAACATTGCTGAAGTAGTTTCAAAATATTATGAGCCAACTGATGAAGAAATAAAAATAAATAAAGATAATTGAAAAGAAGAATTCATTAATCAATTAAGAAATGAAGAGAGAAATAACAAAATAATTAAAACTATTGAAATTATTGAAAATTGAAAGCAAAAAACTAAAGAGGCAAGATTAGATGCTGAAACTCACCTTGAAGCCTTAGAAGTAGCCCAAGAATGGAGAGAAAGACAATTAGCTGAGAAATTAGAGCAATTAGAAACAGTTAAGAATCAGGAGATAAGTTGGCAAGCCCAAGCAATCCAGAAACTAAAACAAGAACTACATTTAGCCAACAAATCTTTACCAGCATTACCAAGGAAAAAGAACAAACTACTACAGTTTACAAAAAAGATAAGTGAGAAAATTCACTTAAAAAAGAAACAAGAACAAATAATTGAAGTAAAACCTAAGCAAGTCAAACCAACTCATACTAATTCTTTTTTACCAAATCTTTTTTTAATATCTTTAATCTTTAAAAGATAATATATTCATTATATTATTTTAAAATTAGACAGCAAATTATTTCTCTACTGATTTTCATTTCTTTCTAGGTTCTTTGTGGTTCTGTGCTAATGTTCTTTTCTTAGTGTTTATTATTTTTCTTTCTTCTTGGTAAATTTCATAAGTAATCTTTTCTTTATCTAAATATGTTTGCAAGGATTTAGTATCTGCCAATTTAAAAATATAAGGTGCAATTTTTTCACCTTGTTCCTTTTTTAAAATACTTCTAATGGTGCTGTAATTTTTGGGTTCCATAGTAGATCTGATGTAAATGAGTTTCATATTAGCTATTTTTATATAGGGGTAGTTCTATATATCATTTAACAAATGGGACATTATAAAACTGTTGATTATTATTATGATCACATTACAAATGACTAAATTTTGATCCCTGAAATCCTTAGTAGTGCAAATGTTCACTTTGTCTGGTTTTGTTGCAGTATGCCCCATATATGATATTAATTAGTTTTGATCTACATTAGTCCAAAGACATTACCACGGATTAAATAATTTTTTGTTTATTATAAAAAAGATACATAATTAATTATACATTCCAAATTTACCCAAAAGGTCATATTAAAACGGGAAAACAAATTTCCTTTCTGATCTGTTTTTCTTAAAACATGATTTTTTACCACATAATTGTAAGGACCTCGGAAACTTCTAATTGAGGTCCCAATCAATTTTCATATTAAGGGTTTATTATAACAAATTCACCCTCTTAATATTAGTATGTAACATTTTTTTAACACCATTAAAAGCATATCTTGATCGACATTTGCTAATATAAGGCCTTATAAACTTCGCCCATAATTATATATAGTTCACTATCTATAATGACCCTTCTGTTTCAGCAAAGAAACCATTATAGAGAGAGATCGTTATATGAGGCATATGAGATAATTTCAATTGGGCCCAAATTCTCAGTCCGTTATAGAGCGAAAACCATCATAGAAAAGGCTGTTATGGAGAGAATGAACTGTATGTGTTTCTGTTTTTGAAGAATCCACAAAATAAATAAATGCATCTTTCCTTATTGAACTTTATTTTTAAACATATTCAAATAAAAGCTAACACAAAACATCATAAAGATCCATATAATGAGCAAGCTCTTGAAGTATTAACAAATAGTATATTTTTATTAGAATAATTTAATTCATTCGATTTTAAATAAGCTACATCAAGCTATTATATAAGATCATATTAACAATATGTTCCTCAATTAAATGTAAGATAAAGTGTTTGTTTAAGTATGCATCCCATCTGCGCATATTTTTCATTTTTCATAATGTATTAGTATGTGGTCATGTCTGAAATAAATAAAATATGAATTATCTTTTGTTTGTATGTGATTTATATTATGTATATCTAACTTCATAATTTATTTACTTAATTTTTAATATTACGTTAATACCTGTTTATTATATTTACACTTTTGCAAAAAATAATAATAATAGCGAAACATAATTAATTTTCTTTAGATAGAAGGATCGAATTAATAAATGAATGGTACCCTTTTTTTTCTCTTCTACTTCATCATAAATTTTTACAGTGCAGGTGAAATGCCTGCTTTCTTCCTCTCTTCCTTTTCATCATTATTTTAAACTATTATTTGGTTCGTATGTGTTATATATAATTCATTATTTTATTCTATTCATTACTTATTTTATATAATAATAATTCATCTTGTATAATAATATCTACCTTATAATGATAATAAAAAATTTTTTTTACCTTGTATATTTTATTTTAAAAGAAACATTTCATTTAAAATTATATTAAAAAAATGCAAATTTCTAGTCCATATGTTCGTATCTTAACATCTCTTCACAAAAAGAAAATAGCAGTCAATATAATCATCACATTCTTGATATACTCTAATTTCCCATTTACCCATTTTTTATGGACTTTTTTTTTAAGGGGAATTTAGTTTTTGCGCCTCGTGTGTAACCGTGGCTTTTTTCCCCAAACATAATATATAGAACCATTAAAAAAGTTTTATATCAATTTTTACTCATTCTTCATTGGACTTTTTTAATGTATCCATAATAATAATAATTCTACCCTATCAATCAAATAACGGTGACATTTTTCACTTTTCTATATGTTTTTTACCTTGAGACTTCATTTAGAAGTTTTCGGGGCCCTCGTACGATAAATGCTTGAAGGTATCATTAAATCATATGGGTTGTTCGGAGGATTTTGCAGTGTCCTATTACGAATTAAATTACTTTAACATGATTAAACAAAATTTTATTGAATAATCAATGCACTGTTATTGTTATTGCTATACTTCTTAATGATAAACAATTGTAGATCTTTGCCCATTTTCTATTAATTATAGAAAAAAACCAGCACAGCCTATAGACAGACTTGTTAGAAAACAAACAAACAGAAGATCAGTTAATGTTAGCATTTTTGGAAATAATCCGTTTATTATAAATTGTAGAATATTCTTTAAACTTTCCAAAAAATAAAGTTTTGATAAAACGTTCATCAACTCAACATTAATATTAACCATTTTTTAAAAGTCGAGGGTTACTTTTCATGTTAATTTTCTTCTGATGGCCATATCTTAACACTAACATTAATGAACATCTTGACATTAATATTAATATTAATGTTGGGTTAAGAACCTACAATATACAATGCAATAATTTTGTGAAACGTCCAATCTCATTTTGTAGATAAAATTATTCAACGTTGTACTGATTTAATGTTATCATAAAAAATTTCATAAATAATAATAATAAATATAAATATATATATTATTATTATAATATATAGCTTAAAAAAACTCTCTTAGAAATAAATTTCTATGTAATTTACATGATTATTTACATAAATTTGGGTTAAAAAAAAAAAATCTCTCTCTATATGTGCATTTATATTATTTTTTAAAACATAATGTGATATTATTATTCGTAGTTACCTATAATTATTTTCATATTATTTGAAGTTTACTGTTTAATAATCTATTGCGAAAAAAAAGATTTTTAAACGTATTCACGAAAAAAAAAGGTTAAAAATTGAGATATTGAAGTCCGAAAATATTTAAATCCGGATCTTGATCAAACGTTGTAGTTGTTGATTCATTTGTATTGACGAAATTATCATTACCGGTGCTTGAATTTTGCTCGATTTGGTTTATATTTAAAGATGATGGTGATTCAAAATCAAAATTGTCATTATAATAATAATCTTCATTATTATTATTATTATTATCAAATCCAAATTCATAATTATCATAATCGAGATCCGGAGAAGTTGATGATGACGATAAATCAGGACTTGGATATTCACGATCATTCATCATATCCAAATAATAATCAAAGTTGGAAAATGTATTAGGTGCAAATGTAGCTGAAAGATTTAAAGGAACCATTTCAGAAGAGATCGATTGTGTGGTTGTAGTTGTGGTGGTTGTTGTTGTGGTGGTGGTGGTGGTGGTATTAATCGAAATAGGAATTTCATCCTGTATGATTGGGCTCGTTTCCGGAGTGATAATAAAAGGTGAGTTGCTGAAAGTTGGATCATAATTATAATCATAATTATAATCAATGGGATTAACAGGATTGCAATTAGGCTTTGGATTATAATTGACTTGACTTGTAGCACTATTATTATTTTTATTATTATTTGATGATGAAGGTTTATTATTTTTTGTCGATTTGATTGTTGAAGTTCTTCTTTTGGTGGAAGTTTTTGGTTCAAAGAAAATGACATTCCAACCATCTTTTTTCTTATTACGTCGATTAATTTTATTGCTTGGAATCAGTTCATCACGAAATTTTTTAGCTTCTTTTGCAATCCTTTTATATTCATCCTGAACATATTTTGGTTCTTGTTTCCAAAATTTAGAAGCCATTGCTGATACAACCGTCATGGGTAATTGATATCCTTGCGATCTTGCAGTTTGAAAAAACATTGTTCGATATAAAATAAACGCATTTGGAGATCTTAGTGAAGATATGGATTTATCATCGAGGCTGGTTGTGGTAGATGCGGATGTTATTTTTGTTTTTTGGCTCTTGTGACGAATAAATAAATCTTTAATATTTATTTTTGGCGGAAAAGGTGGTTTCATAAAGGAATGATGAGATCCATTATTGATCACTTGGTTGTCATTTGAGTTGATGAAAACGCAAGCACGATGAGCGAGATTGGAAGAACTGGAGATTGGTGTTGTTGTTGTTTTTGTTGAATCATCAATGTTAATGTTGATGTCGTCAATGATTTCGTTTTTCGAAAAAGAAGAATAAAAATAAGAAGAATTCATCGTTAAAAAATTATTTTATTTAATAATAATAAAAATTAATTATTTAATACTATTATTAAATTATTCGTTATCATGAAATTTTAAGAGTGAAAAAAGAGAAAAGAACAAAATATCTTCTACTTTTATGCATTTTTTTTACTTAATGAGTTTAAAATTTTTTTAATTATAAAAAAAAAAAAATCTCAAATAATTTTTATAAGGAAATTTTTTTATGAAGAATAGTTTTACTAAACGTTTGTGATAATTAAAATAGCGATTTTGCCAAAATGGCTTGACATTTTTTTTACACAATGTAATAGAGTATGATGGCAAAATAATATAAAAATAAAATTCCATTTACAATAATTATGCATTGTTCCAAAAAAAAAACGTCTACTTTCCAAATTTGTAAGTAAATTATAAAACGACTTTTTGAGAAATCAACAATGATTACACATCATTTTCCAAGAACGCCTCTTTGATTTTTTTAAAAAAAAAAAAAAAAAAAAGGAAATTTTGTAATAGTAAAATAGGTACAAGGGATGATATATGGGACAATTTCTTTGGGAAATTAAAATAAGATTTTTTTAGGATTTCATTTAATCCATTATTATTATATTATCACCCGATTGCCGGCCGATTCAAAAAAAAAATTTGCATGCACATGTATCCATTTGTAAATTCCCGTTCTATATCATATGAATATTAATATGCCATACCAAAATTATAAATATCGACCGATCAATGTGCTCACTCTTGTATAAAAACAAATTCGATTTTTTTTTTTATTTAAAAAAATTGGTTTTATTTATCACTACCAAAAAGAAGAATTTACAAAAATCATAAATTATTAAAGTATTAATGATAATGTTGATAATATAACCCACCTCTAATCCAAAGCCTAACACACACAAAGTCTAATTCTACTAATTCCACTTTCAATGTCATTTATTTATTTATTTAAGACCATCTATCAACCTTAATATTACTTAAAAATTGCACCGCTTTGGGTTGATTTTTTAAAGCTGCCATCTTTAAGAATTGCAAACCTTTCTCTACGTCTTTCTTCAAACCAACCATACCACCATAATACATTCTGCCCATATTAAATTGTGCAGTGGCATTACCGTTATCAGCTGCCAAAGTCAAATAATTTAAGAAGGCATCCGTGTCTTGTATTATTTGATCATGGTATAATGAGAAAGCGTAACGTAATTGACTGTCAGCAACATCACAATCAGCCGCTTCCTTAAAATATTTTGTACCTTTCTGAACATCTTTTTCAACGTGGTAACCTTCTGTTAGATAATGTGCTTGCCAATATTTTGCATAGTTATTACCCAACTTTGCATGATATTCAAAACATTCCCATGCTGATTTCCTTTCATTTGATTTATGAGATTTTATCCCATCCTCCAATAATAAAACTGATTTTACTTTAGGGAACACATCTAAATCTGGATCATGGAAATCTATTTTTTTATCATCAATAACGTCAACATTCATCGACGAATCATCGTCTATTGTTTTTGGACCGCCTTCCTTGATGATTAATTTTTGACTTATATCTGCTGATACTTCATTTGGATGTTCATTTTGATATTTTTGTAGTAAATCGTATAATTTTAAAAAAACTTGATATAATCCAGGTCTTAAACATGGATCATCTTGCCAAGCTATCAAAAAAAAATTTTTTTTTTGTTTAAAAAGGGGGGGTTTTTTTTTAATTAAAATGAAAAATAAATTTATTTATTTAAAGCTTTATATACCAGCTCTAATAAGTTTTGCATATTCCCGTTTAAACCAAGGCATATCATCACCCCCAAAGTTAATGATTTCACGTTTACCAGATTTTATATGTTCAATGATTTGTGTATAAGATAGATCTTTATAAGGAATTTTATCAAATGCAAATTCCCATAATAACATACCAAAACTAATAATATATTTTATAGTGAAAATAAATAAATTAGATTTTTTATTAAATAAATTAAATAAATTTTACAAGTAAAATAAAAAAATTTGATACCTAAAAACATCACATTTATGAGAAAATTTTGCTTTTTTTGATTGTCTTAATTTTTCTGGTGCTAGCCAATGTACAACAGCTGTAATATCTTGTACAACATATCTACTATATTTTGTTGGTTTTGCAAATCCAAAATTTGCAATTTTTGGTGACAAATCTTTAGTCATCTAGGAAAAAGAGAAAGAGGAAAAGAAATGATGTTTATATAATAATATTTATATATATATATATACACACACACACACACACATATATATATGTATATGTATATTTTCTTTAAATATAAATTTTTTTGCAATGTAATATTATTATTATTACCATAACGTTTTGACATCTAATTTCTTGATGAAATATTTGACATCCATGTAAAAATATTAGACCACGACAAATTCCAAGAGCAATGCTAAGTTTTTCATACCAACAAATTTGATAGGTTTCATAAAGACTTTGTAAATCATTATTTTCACACCATTCAAATACTAAATTTTGACATTCACCCGGTATTTCTGTCGTGCCATAAAATTTTAAAATGTCTTCAGATTTATTCAAATCCTCCAACAATATCAATTCACTATAAAATCTCGCGTTTTGGTCTGAATCAAAACTTTTACACGCAACTTTTACACGTTTTATTCGAGTGTTCTGTTGTTCGCAAATATTGTTGTTCTTGATATTATTATTCTTGTTATTGCCATTAATATCAATATTATTGTTGTCTTTATTATTATTAAAAATAATATTATTACTGTTACTACTACTACTACTACTATTATTATTATTATTACTGTTGTTGTTATCATTACCATTAATAATATTACCACCACTCAAACTATTATAACACCAATATTTGTTGTAACCATAATTAACATAAGTACTCCACATGCTAGCTTTATTACCACGGCTGATATTATTACTTGTTTTGTTATTATCTCCACCGCTATTATTTCCTTTTTTATTATTGATAATATTAAACAAAGAAGAATTCTTGAAATTTTTATTCATTTTAATCTTGTTACCTTTTTTAGACTTATCTTCATCTTCATCTCCATCATCTTCTTCATCTCCTTTTTCAGGAATGTTATATGTCATTTGTGAAAGATTATTATGTTTTTTTAGCCGTGTTTGATCCGTTAGATATTTCGGTTTTAATGATTTGGCTTTAAACTTATGTACAGCATTATCCGCCGTATAATTTTTTTTTAGTAGTACAGTTTCAAAGATAAGATTTATATTTTTATCTTTGCCTGTGATTCCTCCTCCAACCATATCTAGGAACTAATTAATAATTACCAAATACATTATAATAATCGCAATTAGTTATTATTTTATTTATTTAAAAAAAGATTTTTTCCCACACTAACCTTTTTTAATTCATCAATTTCTTCATTTAAAGCATCTGAGTCTTTACGATGTTGTTCATCTAAAAGATAACCCAAGTTGAAACCTAATTGATCAACAACTCTCTCAAATTCTGATACAATGTCTTTAAATTGATTCTTTATTTCATAAAAATTATGATTATATTTTCTTAATCCATTAAGCAATGAAATGTCCGAGATAAATTTTTTAATTTTATTTAAATTATTGATGAGCCTCAAGAAATTGTCATAATAATGTTGTTGAAGAAACGATTTTGAAAAATCTTCTTTGTTTCTTTTCAATGTTCTTAATGAAATCTCTAAACATTCCACTCTATCCATTAACAAATCACAAACTCTTTTGTTATATTGTGTTGCTTCATAGATTGTTTGTATCTGATTAATAACTTCTTGAATTTGTGTTATCAATTGATCAAAAACTTTTGATGCTTCTCCAAGTGCTCCTATCGCTCCTAAAGCTCTTTTTGCATATTCCCATTGAACTTCTTTTTCAAGTATTTCACCAATAACATTATTATCATTAAAATTGTTGTTACTACTTGATATTGTATCAAGATCGTTATTTTGCATATAACCGTCCATTATACTTTTTCCAAATTTTTTATTTTCCTCGCAAAAAAAAATTTTTAATTTTTTTGAGACTGACTGATAGTCAGGACAGCCTTCCTTTATATGTCAACTTTTATTGATTATTCAAGACCTAATTTGGATTAACAATTAAAGAAAGTTTTTCTTGTGTTTTGTATTAATATTTTTTTTTAACAATTAATTTTTACAAAATAGACTAACATAAATGACATAAATAGAACAAATAAAATGTAGATCTTGATATTTTTGATCACCTTTGGGAATGCCTGGTTTGGTAATTTTTTTATCGGAATCTTTCAAAAAATATGTCCTGCCGATCGATATCCATAATAATAATTAATATTAATATTAATAATAATCAACGGGAAAGTTTGTTTTTTCGAAATTTTTCAATTTTTTTAATAATTTAAAGTAATTATAATGCTTTGTTTGGTTTTGTTTTGGCTCTTCTTTCACCTCAAAAAAGCAAGCCTTTATTTAATTGAAAGAAACAATTAATTATTTTGCTAAAAAATCGATTTTTCAGTAAAGAAAATAGTATGTATTTTGTGTGTGTATTGTATACAATACATTAATATTAAGACCACGTGATGCATACGGAAAAACGGGAAGTACGAATCCCGTAATAGTAATAGTATAATAATAACAATAATAATAACAGTAATAGTAATAACAATAATAGTAGTAATAGTAAAATTCCGTGTTAGTGTATATTTCGTGTATATATTCTGTATATATTCCGTATGCATCCGTGCTTTTTCACTGTAATAGTAATATTCCGTGTTAGTATGGTAGTTCAGAGAAACATACGGTGCATGTACTATTTTTCCGCAAAAATTTTCCATAGGGTTACCATAATTAGAACAGAATATAGTTTCAAACATTCTCTTTCAAGTAAATCAGGGTGTGTTTGATCCATAATTCACCGTTATATTCAGACATGTATTTTTCATTTTATCCAAGAACTCTTTTTAACATATTCTCTTTCACGCCCATCATAATGCCTTTATGATGTTGCTGAAATAAATAATCAAGAATATTATGTCATTTTATTGCAGTCTTTTAAACCATTGCTTTTTGTTTTGGTGACTCCAATTTTAGGTAATAATTCCTCTTTGATAAAATTTTAAATTTAGATTGTGTGGCATAAATGTGGTTAACCGCAATTCAATTTTTATATGCCACAATTAGTTGCAACTAGTCCTGTGATGATGGTAATGTTGTTGAACCAAAGTTATAAAACTATTATGTCAAATTCGCTGCCATTAATTCAAAAATGACACAAGTAAAATTGTTTAAAGGCTAATAAAATATTAAAAAAAACTTTTTATTACAATCTCCTTTGTTTTCCAAGGATCTGCCAAATTCGAACATTTCTTATATCAGTATTAATAATGTGATGCATAAAATCATCGTTCCAGGGTCAACTAATTTTAGTGTATTTTACGCAAAAGCTTTTTATAACATCAATATTGATTGATCAAGTTACTTTGCAATAATAATTCCATCTCTATTTTTATCTTTATCAACGAAAATTTCATTAAAGATAACTTCTGGTCCTCTCAGAGATAATTAAGAATAAAACTCTGTGATAGAATCACAGCGTTAATAAGCTTTTAAACATAAAATAAAAAATAAAACATTGTCTTTATTTTTCCTTGTTTAAAGCGCTCTGACAAAAGCAGCAAGCCTTGATAAAAGGTAACAATTATGGAGCTTTGGTGAAAAGCCACGTTTATTTGCTTTAATGAGCAAGAAAGCAAGGTTAGGACTAACGTTGATTAACTAATGAGTGCTAACAACGATCGGTAACGTAATTTGTTTTAGTGAGTAAGCAAAGGTTTGGACTAATGTTGGTTAACTGGTGGGAGTTAATGAAGTAGTATTATTGTAGTAGTAAACGTAAGGCTGTTAATCAAGCTACTTGAGTTGTTTTGCAAGTAGAGTTTGAAATCGGTCAATAAATGTAAACAAGGACAAACAACTGAAACAGATCGATCATAAGTGAATAAAAGGAACCTTATGGCATTGAAAAAGAGCCATCTTTACTTATTTACAGTTATCTGGTACCATTAAGTGTGCTCCGAAATGACAATATCGCCATTTAACAAGAATCAAAAAAATTGTAAAAAGTTTATTATTTCAAAATATTGTTTACAAGATAAGAAATAAAATAAGGATGAAATAAATATATAATAATAAATTTACAGTGGAGATTAAATTAGTTTTTTCTTTTACTATTGTTGCTAGAATCTAATGTATTAATTAATATCGTTAGTAATAGTTAATGGTTAATAATTTCCAATTGATTAATAATAAAATTTTATTTACCTTTAACATTTTAGAGGAAAGAGTTAAAATCAAGATCATTCAACGAACTATCATTACTTGTATAAATCTTCAAACTTTTAGATTTAGCAATCTCTTCATCTAATATTCTACTTGTATGATATGCATCTGAATGTGATTTGTGTGCTTGTTGCAAAGTACTACTGCTACTGCTACTAGTAGTATTATTATTGTTACTATTTTCATGTTTTTTGATTTTAGAAAATTTGAATAATCTTTTTATTAAACTATTATTACTATTATTATTTTTCAAATTCTCATTTTTAACAATTTCGTTACGTTTATTATAAGCAAATGTCCGAAGCTCTCTACTAATTGGTCTTTTTGATGGATCCACATCCCAACACCTCTGCATCATTTGCACATAATCGTCAGGCATACCAGGTAGTATTGGTGGTCGTAAACCTTCACATATAACAAAAATCAAACGATGATTGTGAGCTCTATCATCAAATGGTGGATGTCCTGCAAATATTTCCCACATTAACATCCCAATACTATAGATATCTGACTCTTTGGTGTTCTTTGTATCAATTTTGCCTCTAAGTAGTTCGGGTGCAGCATATGATACAATCCCATAGACTTTATTTGATGATTCGCCATCAACTGGTCCACATAATCCTAATCTGTAATAAAACAGCCACCTCCTTGCATAAGTATATTACCACTATGTAAATCACAATGGATTAAATCTTTTTCATGTATACCATCTAATGCCCAACATAAATAATCAAAGATTGAAATTCTGTCTTTTAATGTTAAATTTAAATGATTTTTTTCTAAATAATCCCTTAAATTTCCATCTGATAAATAATTTAAAACGATTGCATAATTTCCATTATCTGGGAATTTAGTTATACCTAAGCACTGAACAATCAACACCGATTTGATTTTGGAATAATTCATTGCCTGTAATTAAATATAAAACCAATTAGTATTATATGATACAGTATTGTTTATTTTTTAAATGACAACTACCAACCTCATTAAAAAATGCTTTTCCTGGATTACTCGATTCATTTAAACTTTTTAATACTACTCTCTGCCCATTACCTCCAAAATAACTAAATTCCTTTTTGTTTTCGTCATAATTAACAATAGTTCCTCTTGACCATTTAGCAGTATAAATTGAACTAAATCCACCTTCTGTCAACTTTGTTATATCATAAAATTGCTCAAAAGGTATCCATTCTAAAATATGGTCTGGCAGAGATGATTCATTTGACATTGTTGAATAAAATCATCAATTATGTTATTTCCAGATGCCCAAGTGGTGAAAAGACTCTGTAATTGTAATCTAATACAACCTTCACAGAACCTATCAGAGTATCTTGTCAATTTACACTTGTTACATTCTTTTGGTTTTCCCAATTTATATGTTGCATTATCTAATTCAAAATCATAATAAATCTTTCCTTACAATATTCTTTTTCATTTTCGGAAAGCTCCCTTTTTTTTTTGACTAATGAAAAAAAATAATCTTTTCTACTTTCTCTATCACAATTAGCACTAGCATTATTACGCATTTCACCATTAATTTTATATACAAATTTCTTTCTTTCTGGTAATAGTATAAAAGAAAGGTTCATGTATTACGGTTTCTTTCTAAATCTCGTAATTTTTGTGTAGATTTTTATATTTTGTGTAATAGTAATATAACCTAACAATATGAGATGTAATGAAGACTCGTTGAGACTTGAAATGATAAATTCAGTGCAATTACGGCAACGAATCATGAATCTTCTAAGCATTTTGTTGCTCAAATTTAGTAAACTGAATTGTTGGGAAAAGATGAAACCAAAATCAAAGGAGTTTTTTTCTACGCTGATTTGGAATTAAATTTGTTAAAATTGAAATTTGAAAATATTTTCGTTTTCCAGAAATGATAAATAGTTGTGATTATTTTTATATCACAATATCATGCGAATTCCCATTTATATCTTATTTGGATTTATCTATTTTTGTTCAAAATGTCAGGGTTGAGAAAAGCAAATACTTGACTGAAAAGAAATCGTTCTTTTAGAATGTTTTTTGCATGGCGTCTACCGCTGTCTACCATTAGGTCTTCGTATTGCTCTGACGTTTTGGACCAAATGAAATGACCAAAAACCTGTGGAACCTTTACCTCAGATCCCAGATCGTCAAATACTTGTCGTGTTAGCGTTAGTATATTTTCGAGTCCGGGATTCAAAATAAATATTTCGTTGTTATTGTTATTATTGGTCAATTTCAATTCAATGGTAGATAAACAAACATTATGTACAAATTTTTTTTGATTTTGACCATTGGGAGATAGCGGATAGGTAAGGTTTCTAATTTTTAATTTCCTTTCGAAGAAAACAAATAAAATACATTGATTAATCTTTGCAAAGGGGGGTTTTTTTTAACAAACGAAATTTGTAAATAGCTTTTGATGTTTGCATGAAGTTTATTCTCCTATAGCAATAGACTTGGAGAAAAAATACAATTGATCCAATTGACCTTTAATCCGGGATAAATAAATAAACACGAGGAAAATATCAGGACAAAAAGATCTCTTTTTTTAATTAGGAAAAAAAAGCTTATTTAACAATCGAAATTCGTAAAAAGTTTCGTCATACATAATTACTGGACACATAAGAAAATTTCGTTTAAGATTCGTTGAA